TTGAATTTAAATAATGGACTGATCACAATTTATATATGTATATGTACTATTGTTGTGGTTTGATAAACACAAATACTCAATCTTTATGAAATCCAATCCTCATTTAGAGCATGTCATTCAATAAACAAAGACAAACTTCATATGCCATATATGAATTACAGTAAATAACTCTTTGTGGAGTTATTAGCCCCAAATGTTAGGTTGTAGCCTATTTAATGTAAATTAACCTTAAATTTTGTAATAAGGTGATATTTTTAATTAATTTAGATTAGTGTAATAAATATAGTTTATAGGTAATAACCCTATAATATATAATATTGGTTAATACCAAACATACATGGTGAGTGACCGCTAAAGGAAAGTAACATATTGTTGAGTTGTTTTTATTTATTAAGTTGAAGTTGGTGCCTTGGTGGAATTTAGGCTAAAAGTTGGAGAAGTTGTTAACAAAATACATATTTATAAATACCAATTAGAAATGAATTACATTTTTATGTTTAAAAATCCTGTTCATAAATGAAATTGCAAGTATGAATTAGTAAACTTTTTTTTTTTTTTTTTTTTTAAAATGGTTAGACTGTATATGTTTATTTATGGGGTACGTGACTACGCGGGGTATCAGTGTATCACACATTCACACTAACATTATAGATAATCACATATAAATGCTATTATTGAGATCATATTCATCAAATTCGGGCAATGAGAAGTGACTAGACTGTATAGATATATGTAGACAAATTTAAAAAGAAATCGAATGATAGTTCACCATCTCATCAATTTTTGAGGGGGCCAAATTATTATTCCATAGAAAATTTGAGATTATTAATGAGGGGAGATGCATCATTTATAGAATTATCATATCATTCTAGTCACACCTTTACAAGAATGTATAATATTTTGTTGATGACCTAAGTAAATTAATTTAATCAAAAGAAAAAACAATAAAAAAATAAAAAAAATCACTTTGTTACTTTACACCTTGAACTCTTTATAACCCAAAAAAGCTAGATAAAATTAATGATGGTCATTAAGGTCTTGATATTTCAAGGATTAGTATAGTTCTATGTAAATTTACAAATTTGTCTTATTTATATTTGGTTTAGTATTGAGGGAACGTACTCTTGAAGCCATTTCATTAGTAAGATTAAAAAAAAAAAAAAAAAAAAAAAAAAAAAAAAAAAAAAAAAAAAAAAAAAAAAAAAACCAAGTAGGGTCTAAACAAGCTGATACTCTCAATTTCATGTACAAAAAGTTGATTCAATATCAGTTGAATGGAAACTCGTTCATGTTTGTTTGTTTGATATATGAATCCAATATAATCAATTTTTAAAGCTTGTTTATAATTATAGAGTAATAATCTTAGCTTGAACATGAAAATAGATATATTAGCTCATATAAGTTTAAAAACAACTTTAATTATTCATCAAGTTCACGACCAGTAATTATAAGAAAAGCTCAAAACTCATTTAATAAACTGTACTATCAATACAGTAGAGCATACCTTATAATTAGGAATTAGGATTATTGTGCTTAATTTAAGATTTTCTAATATGCTAAATGCCGCAAAGGTAATTTATTAAAAAAAAGCTCGTGTATGAAAAAAAAAAAATTATCTCTTATAAAATTGGTTAGATATATAAGTGAGTAGTTTATGAACGTTCGCGAACACATATAGTAACCTCTTAAATGAACCATAAGCTAAGCTTGAATAGCCTTTTGAGCTCCGATAACAACACGTGCTTAGACTCGCTCGCTTAGGTTAAATAAACATGGACACGATAGTATTTGGCTCGATTTGCCTTAGTTATATCCTTCTATACAAGTATGATATTTATAATTATTTCAAATACATTTTTAATATATAAATAGTCTAAAGACAATTTTCTATTTTAACTAATACCTAATCGATACATTTTTGGATCACAACTTAGCATTAGCAATGCAATAATATAATTAAATTATGGTTTTAGTTGTCTGCTTTTTTCCTACCATAGAGATAATTAAAAAGTAAAAAAAAAAAAAAAAAAAAAAAACACCGTGAATAGATTTTGTGTATTCCTAGAATAATGCCGCAATGTCAAAGTTGGTGTGAGACCTCACCTAATAATGTGTAGTTTAGTTAAGGAAGCACAATATAATCTTGTTTTACGTCCTTGATTATATTTTATGTACTTGTTGCATGTTACTGTTAACACCTTCTTTGTTGCGTTTTGGGATACACGCTAGCTTTTTAATATTTGGAAGCCACCATATTAAAATATAATGTATAACTTTTATCAATGGTTTTAAAAAATAAAATTCGTCTTGCAAAAATATAATTTAAAGAAAGGGTATAATTTTGTTATCATTATTTCATAAATGTCGTTGAATATTGGTGTAATATTTGTTTGAATATGCCTCAAATAAATCTCAAATGTGTGTGACTATATACTCTCTATGTAATCTGTTAAACTTACTCTCGGATGTTATGTAGACTTAGTTGACTCATCATTAGTGAGCCACGCACGCTCGTAAATCTGTGTTCTTTACTTATTCTTTGTTAATCTTTCTTACTATGTAACGATTCTTACGATTACAACAATATCTTAATAACTAACTGTGATGAAAATTAAAGTTGATACAGTTATATAATTAAATTATTTAATCTTTACAAAAACAATAATGCAAAAGTTCTTGTACCGTAAATATAAAATGTTAGACATGGACAGACCCTTTTTTCCTAATATTTGTCAAAAAAAAAAAAAAATCAAAAAATCTGCTAGCCCCTCTTTCATTCCATTTCAGAGAAAACAAAAGGAGTAATTTGTGCATATAAATTAAACTTGGATTTATTGGTGCATAATCTATCAATGATCTTAGAACAACCTAATTCATTAGAAAACAAATTATTATTAATATTTTTTTTTTTTTTTTTGAACGGATCATTAGAAAACAATTTGTTTTGTCTTTTACACAAAAGTGGGTGAAATAAAATCGAAAATGAATGAAAGTTGCAAACCAACTTAACTTAAAAAGGAATATTTTTTTTATTTTTTTTTATTTATGGAATTCTTTTTTACATATTGTTGCTTTATTCACCAACTCTGTAATATCCTTAGGTGCAAGAAAACTAAAGTAGATGAAGCATGCGGTAAAAGATTAAAAGTTCCTATAATTGCATGAAATGAAAACGACTTGTTGAAAAAATTCATATATTGGATCAATAATTATCTCTTCAATTTTATTTTATTTTTAATTTTTGTAAAATTTTTCTTTTAAGGATGCATGATAGAAGGGGTGATTGAGCTCATTGAAATGCAAGTAGTCAAGTCACAATCTAAGATGATGACACGTGGGGATAGGGGGGACATCGACGGTGAAATAATGTCCCACATAACATTAAAATAAATCAAAGAGGTTGTAACATTATTGAAATTAATTAATTAGTTTTGTTACACTAGGTTCAAAAAAAATTTGTATCCAAGCACTTGGAGTAATTGTGACATTGCTTAATTAGTAGGGAAGAAGCTTGATGGGGGCGGTGGGATGATTTAAAACTATAGGTTTAATTTAAAAATAATAGATAGAAATCTAGAGGAGGATGAAAATGATACATAACCCACAATTCTTAATTGTTAGCTAGATTGAATCTATAATGAGACATACAAGTGGCAAAATAATTTGGTATTGAAGTGTATTTTTCAATTGCAACAAATCCGGGGGGATAAATTTGGTAGGTCCATCTTTTTATGCAAATGATAGTGAAGTTCTTGCATGTAGAAGGAATTTGCTTCAATCATGTAAAAGAATTTACCATTCATGTCCATTTTCAAATAGTTTATGTTTTGTTGACTTGTTATTGCATTTATTATTTGCCAATTGTACGTACTATTCATAGTGACAGGGGCGAAGTAAAATTCAAAATAACAAGATCAATTAATTTCATTAAGTTTGTAAAAATCTTATTACAAACAATTACAAGATAAATTAATGAGGTTTAATTGAAACACTTATATAATATGGAACACAATATGCGAGTTCCAAGCATTCTGCAACTTTAAAGCATATACTTGTGTGTTAATATATACTCTCTCTATCTCTTAATAATAGTCCCTTTTGGTGAAATTTACATGTGGTATGCAAAAAAAGTAAAGGGAAAAGTAATAAAAGTATATGAAAATGCAAATTTTACATGGGGATCGAATCTAAATTTGTACAAATATTGTTGCAAATTGGTGGGAATTTTAGTAAAAAAAAATAATATTAATGGTTGTTGGAAAAAGCAAATGGGGTGAACATTTTGGGACTAAAATTTGGCCAAAAGGGACTATCATTAAGCGACAGAGGGAGTACTTCCTCCTTTCTTTTTTACTTGACCCGCTTTTGTTTTTACAGTATATATATAGGATTGAGATCATGTAAGAACCAAGGTGAATAATAGGAACTAGGAACTCATCAAGACCGTTGATCGCGCTTAATCTGACGGCCGAGATTCCACCCGCTTCATTAATGGCAAATTAGTAAATTTGATATTTTGAATGACTACCTCCTGCGTTTTTTTTTCACTTTCTCTCTCTTCTCTTGAATTCTCTCTGCTGTGATTTTATTCCTTCGAATTCGCTCATTGACTTTTCGACTTCACAAATTGATTTCCTCAATTTATTCGATTTTTTCATCAACTTTCTTCGATTTTATATTATCTATCGAATCTAAAGAGATAATATTTTTGATTTGTTATACTTTTTGCGATTTTGTGAATTTTTTTTTATCCATTTGCGATATGTTTTGTTCGATTTGAGATTTTTTGTTTTTTCATTCGATTTATTATTTTTGATTTGTTGTTTTTGTTTTCGTTTGATTTTTTCAGCTTATTTCTTTTTTATTTAGTGTTTTTTTTATTATGATTTTGTGTTTTTTGAAGTACTTTCTACGATGTAGGGTTCATATACTATGATTTGGGGGTTTTTTGAGTTACTTATTACATTTTAGGGTTTTATATTATGATTTTTTTTTAATAAATTTTGAGTCTAATTGTATGATTTTGTGTTGTTTTAAGTCTTATATTACGATTTATTGTTCTTTGCATTATTTTGAGTCTTTGGTCATGATTTTGTTTTGTTGTTGTTGTTGTTGTTGGGATTTAGCTTGAGCTTTAGATTGAGTTTTACATGTTCGATGAAATGCTTGAAAGAAGTAAGACTATAATATGATGATGAACTGGTGAACCTCTGTTAGGAGGAGGTGTTAGGCTGGCCTGGACTGAGAAATCGTCTGGTAATAATGGCAATTGGGATTGTTGTTATTGTTGGGTTTGCAGTACTTTTATCTCTTGGACTATCAAGCAAAAGGGCAGTTTGTTAAAAAGATTTCTCCCTTTTTTTTTATGTTGCATAAATTGACATCTTTTAATAGCAAAGCCTTTGAATGTTATCTTAAGACAATAGGGATGGATAATGTTAAAGTGTTTGGATAACGGTAGAGATGTATTGTGCTGTTTGTGGCCAGCTGCACAATTGCTATTTGTGGTGTGATTAGTTGTTGTGTGGGTTTTCTTTGTAGCCTTGGGTGTTGTGTGAATGGTGTGGCTATATGTGGTGAAGGAGCACAGGGCAAAGGGTGTGGTGCCGTGTGTTGGTTGCTGTTGTTTGGGTGGATGAAAGAGCTAGGCTGGTGGGGTTATGCTTGCCAGTAGCCGATGGTGGTTGATGTGGTTTATTCTGCATGTCATGTATCTTCTCTACATCGCTCTAGTATATGAGGCATATTGGATGTATAGAATATATAAAAAGGGATTATAAGGATCTGAATGCATTTTGTGCATTCCACTACAGTATTGTTGCATTATGTAATGATATTTTAGTCAGTTTTATCTCTAATAATTTTGATACTTTGTGTATTGTCAGGTTGAGTGTCCTAAGTATCCAGGCTTTTTGTATAGCACAACAAAGGAAGGAATATATCCATTTGTTGAAATATTTCATACCCCAAAGCAAGTATGCCAGATCCTTCTATATCTAATACTCTGTAGTCTTTTGGGATTTGGACTATGCAAGTATCCAGTTTTAGGATCATACCTCTCATATTAGATTTACTTTTGAGATCGTGTTATTTTTTTTTTATTTTTTTTTTGAGTATTTTTCTTTACTTTGACAATATACATTAGCCTACTAGCTCAATAGGTAGAGCATTTGTGCAAGTGCACAAAAGATGTGGGTTCGAATCCCACGTAGGTTTATTTATGAGATGAAATTATTTCTTTTAATTATTTGTGTGTATTTCATTCAGTTTACTTTAAATTCTTTTTTATTCACTTTAGATTCTTTTTTATTTACTTTTAAATACCCCAATCTTCTTGCTAGCTGGAGGTCGTATCTTAATGCGAGAGTTTCAGCAATTGCAAGAGAAGTGTAGTATGAGCATACTTTTCCAGCAGCTACAACCTTATCCAACTCATCCACGATCACTGTCCCAAGCCTATTAGCCCGCCCCACTCTAACATATGCATCCATATTCACTTTCTTGTAAATGATCAGGTTGAGTGCTGCTGCCTTGCCACGCAGGCCCTGCCAAGGCTGCAGCTGCTGCCCTGCAAGCCCTGCCAAGGCTGCTGCTATTGCTGGCCCGGCCTAGGCTGCTGCTACAGTTGCTGGCCTTGCCTAGGCTGTTGCTGCAGCTGCTTCCTTGCCATAGCTTGCTGTTGCTATACTATTTCCGCTCTACCGCCTGCTGCTGCTATAAATGCTGCTGGGGAGTTCTTAAAGTTGAGCGAAACAGGAAGCTGCTGTGAGCAAGAGTGCAGCCTGTGCAGGAGGAGCAGCAGAAGCATGAGCAGAAGTATTATTATTTATTACTATAATGATGTTTTAATTTACTTTTTAGCCTTTTTTTTATTTACCTCTGAGCTGAGGTATTTTGAGTTCAACACTTTATCACCAAACAGTGACATGCCCCATTTCCAACTCCAACCCCTACCCAGATACGAAATAAAAGAACAAAACTATGTTACCATAACCAAAGGCTTTATTGCAGTTACTTTATAGATTATTTTATTTACTTTTAAGATTATTTGGTTTACTTTTAAGTAATTTTTTTATTTATTGTGAATGTTTTACATAGACTAGCCTACAAGCTCAATTCTTCATTTGCATGACTTATTTTCTCTATACAATTAGTACTACTTAAATAGATTGATAACACTAGCCTACTAGCTCGGGGTAGAGCATTGTGCAATTGCACAAAAGATGTGGGTTCAAATCCCACATAGGTTCATAATCATATACTATGTATTTAAGCATTCATAGCAGTTGGAGACTGTCAATAAGCATTTCTTCATAGCAATTTCCTAATTTTAGAAGTAGAGAAGGTGAATTTCATTTCTATTTACTTTAACTTATTTTGTATCTACTTTTATTACTAGAAACTCAAGCTCACTTATATAAGGATTAAGGATATGTTTGCCCTAATTAAAGATATGTTCACCCTAGACTGAATGTATGTCGTTGACCCATGCTCTAATTTGACCCGTCTTTTTAAGTTTACTAATTTGCTTTTGAGTAGATATATTTACTTTTGAGTAAATATTATTTATTTACTTCTTTTTTACAGGATATTATTTATTTATTTGATGCTATTTTAATTTACTTTTTATTGCTTTTTATTTACTTTTAAGCTATTATGATTTACTTTTGAGATATAATTATTCACTTTTGATTTCTTTTCGAGCTATTTTAAATTACTTTAGAGATGTTTTTAGAATTATTTTTTAATTTCTCTATTTACTTTAAAGATAGTTTGATTTACATTATGGGTTTTTTTTATTTACTTTTGATTGTTACGTAGACAATATTTCTAACGAGCCAAGGTGTCTTATATTTACTTTTAGAGATAACCTATGTAGGAATTAAACATACACCTTTATGCATCCGCATAGTGCTCTACCACTTGAGCTAATAGGTTAACTTTTTTTTTTTTTGAAGGAACGTTAGCCGAGCAATATTATTCAGTTAAATCAAGCTCCGCCAAAGTTAAAAAGTTTTGGGGAAAATTGTCAAGCCATACAAACATCGACTCACTAGTATTGTATCTAGCAATAAGGTGTGCTAACGTATTACCCGCCCGACGAATATGACTACATTTGAAGGAAGTGAAAGCCTGCTTCAATCTCTTAATGCCTTCGTACAGTAGCATTAAAGGAGAGTATCCTGCAGCTTCATGTTCAATTTATGCACTACATTATGCGTGTTGCCCTCCAATTTAATCTTCATCAACCCCATTTGGTGTGCAATCAGAACCCCCATTCTCGGTGCTGCAACCTTAACGAGCTCTACATCCCACCTCGCACCCACCCTCTACACTACTGCAGTAGCTATTATGCACCCTTTTTCATCCCTAATGGACACACCCAGCCCCATAAATCCGTTTGCACCAATGTGAGCATCAAAATTTATCTTCATCGCACCAATAGCAGGGAAGCACCTCCCATTCAGCAATGTTCTAGCAGGCATTGAAAATTATTGAAAATTCAGCACCAGAACATAAGCCCATGGCATTCAGATTTATGGTTGACGATTATTTAATCCTCAACCATAATCTATTTGATTATCTACTTTGAGAGTAGATTCGTCTACTTTAAAAGATATCTAGTTTACTTTAAGTGGAATTATATTCAAGGCCACTTCTAGTCTAGGATAAAGATTCAGCCTATACAAACTTCACAGTCTTCTCTCATCAATCTTGCTGCCAGCTTATCCTACACCCCAAACCTAACGTTAACCTACACCACACCACAACAACAACACAAAATAGTCTACAAAACCCCTTGATATCTAGAGCAACAAACACAACAACAACAACATCTACCATTAAACTTATTAAATCGTTAAAGTTAAGTCATAACATTGGTCTTTATTTATGCAAAAAATTTCGGCACATTCTACAATTCATCCGTCTCAATTCGATTTACAGCAGAAGAACTCCAAAATTCTAACACATTCAACAATCAATCCATCTCACTTCGATTTGCAACAAAAGAATTCCAAAATCTACATTCCCTTTGATTTTGATAGCTCATATATTATATATCACAATGTCAGTTTTTCAATTTACTATAAAATATAATTGATTTACTTTTACTTTGTTTCTATCTACGTTTGCAATTGATTAAATAATAGGATTCCTTGAGGCATTTTGTCAAACACTTAGTGTGCATTAAGAAATCAACAACAATAATTGAATAACTGGTAAAGTAAAATGTAAATTTGATATCAAAATTGAACATATGAAGAAATTCAAAGAGTTCGATTTAAGAATTAACGATAAACCCTAGATAATGAAATCGAAATTCAATGATTACAAAACAGAGAGAAATAAAACATCTTACCTCAGAAGATGCTTCAACGGAATAGGGAAAGCTCAAAATCCGCATCAATGGAGTAGAGGAGAACGAAAATGGTAGAGGAGAACGAAAATGGCACAAATCTGGGTTTTACCTAATTTGTATCGAAAAATTACACAAATCTGGGTTCAAATTGTAGATTTCAAGACAATGATGAGTTTAAGCAACATGAATTTCAAAAACGCGTTGAATTGATAAGATTTGAGCTTATGGTAGAGGAGAACGAAAATGGAGTTAGTGAGGAGAGAGAAAATCGCGGAGGAGAGGAGAGAGAAACTCAGTCAATTTGTCTGAATTAATTTGGGTCGTTAGATCGCGCACCTCTTCTCTTATATCTAACGGTCCAAATTAGTTCCTAGTTCCTATTATAGGATTGGTTATCACTATAACCTGGTCCTATATATATATATATATATAATTACTTATTTATTTATGTAATTTTTTTTACTTTCATATATAGGACTCTATACAAGGTTGCACTCGACAATTATCTTCACTAAAGCCATTTTATAAGGTTGGAGACTACCTTTCACATAAGCTACTGCTTTTCTGATGAGACGTTAAAAGAAAGATAGAAGTTGAGGAGGTCTTGGAAGGATGCAAGGGACTTGAAACGTTCAATATAATGAAAGAAGACAAGGCTGAAGCAAAAGCAGATAAACGACATCAATTGAAGATGAGAAAAGAGAAATTGAATGAATATTAGGCTGATAGGTTTAAGAAATGTACTGTGATAATTCTTCTAGAGATGAAGATTCTTTTAACGATCATGATGCTGAATATCCTTCTACTAATAAAGAGTTGGAATATGCTGATGATAGGGATTTAGATCTTGACATAGATTGGAAAAGTAAAGACTCTCTAAACATAACATTTGATAGGCCAAATTGAAAGAGATACTAATAGCAGGGGCGAATCTTTCACGTAATAGGGTCAATAGACCTACTTATTTTTGTAAAAAAAATCTTATTATAATTAATTAAAAGATGGAAAAATAATGATTTATTAGAATCATTTAATATGAGAAAGATAATATGAAAGTTATGAGTAATATATTAATTGCATAATTACATGTGTAAATAATATTCCATATAAAAGATAATTATATGTGTAAATAATATTCCATATAAAAGATATATAGTTTCACGTTATTTGTGAATTTATAAATAATATTAGCTATAATTTATTTCATGTTGATTTGAACTCACTTATAAAAAATGCTTCATTCACCACTATTTGATAGTTGAATATTTTTTCAAAACTAAGCTTTCGAAAATGGAGAATGTTTTCATGATGCAGTGTGTCTATATATTATGTCAGTTTTGAAAAGATCTTTGTGGTCGGCATAATTGAGAGGCTCATTAAGAAAATGATGGAAGTCGACATAATTAAGCTTTCTACAAGTCCGGTTTCAAGTCTGTGATACCTGTGAAAAAGAAAGATGGTTCATGGAGATTTTGTGTGGAATATTGGACCTTGAATAAAGAGACAGTGCCCATAAATATCCCATCCCAGTAATTGATAAGATTCTTGAAGAGTTTGGTAGGATTGAAGTGGCATATCTAGGCCACAAAATGAAGTATTAATGGATCTTGAGAAAATGAAAATCATAGTTAGCTGGTCAGCCTACACAAATTTAGATACATGAGAAGGTTTCTTGAGCTTATTGGGTACTACATGAAATTTGTTACAGTAGACACCTAAAAAATGTCTCCCCAAATTCAAACCCGATTATGAACAACCTTTCATTGCCGTTATTGGTCGGATTGCGTATTGAATCTATAGAGTGCTTAAAACTATAGCCTTAGTCCAACACTTTTCATTTAATTCACCTAAACCAACCTTTTTAGGCCAAATATCTATTTCCTAGTCCAAACCTTAATTAAACATTTTCCCTAATTTTTAATTAAGCCCAAATAATCAAATCATAAAACACTAAACCTAATAATCAGTCCGCAATGACAGAAACGACGCCTAAATATTCCTTATTTTGTGAAAATTAGATAGATTTTAATAATACAATATTTTCCGAAACTGGAAAAGTACCGCGTCACGGCAAATTATTTTCCGGAATTCTTTTAAACACGTCTTCTATATGATAACTTTTTGTACCGTGCCACGCCATAGGTACCGTGACGCGATACACTGTACTGTGTCGTGGTACACATTCTATTTCAGCGGCCCTATTTTTTTTTTTAATCATTCTGGGCTTATTTCCCTCATTTTTGCCTATAAAAACGAGGCTCGTTTACAAGTTTCAGGGTAGCGAAACACAACTGTACACATAATTTATTTCCTCTCCCTCTTTCTTATACTTACGATCATCGTAACATCACCATACTTCCCATAAGCACTCCAAGGAGTCCAAATTATACCCGAATTGAAGTTTTCTACTTAAACCAAGGCGTGAAAAAGGTAGAAACGATTAAGGGTTTGGACCAAATCTATTCTATTTTCATTACTGTTTTAATTTAATTTCAATTTCATTTATTATTTTTCTTGAAGTTATTAACATGTTTATTGTTTTATAGTTGCAAGCAAACGCAAAAAAAAAAAACAAGACATCATGCTCCTATTTTTTTTATTATATTACTAACGATTTTTATTATGATTTTAATATATTAATTGTTACGTTTTATGGCTAAATTGCTTCCAATATTATTGTTTATTCTATTGTATTGTTGATCACTATTTTACATGCTTAATGGGAATATGTAATTGAAAATCTAGACTAATAAGATAAATTGAACGATCGGTTTAGGTTCCTCTTTAATTTTACTGTTAATTGAAGTGATGTTGAGGCAAATATTGTTCTTTGCCAACAAGTTAAATACTCTATCTTGTTTTAGAGTATTAGGGGTCTGCCCCTCGAGTTACCGGTTTCAAAGATTGATTACCTTGCTAACAACTCAAACAACAAGGAAGCTTTCCCAAATAAAGTAAAACAAGTTAAATTGCATAAATAAACAAGTAGATAAACATTTGAAAAAAGATACAAATGCATTCCATTAATCAAAGAATAAAGTTAGGTATACAATTGTATAAGTCGAAGGAGAGGTTACCTTCATGATCATTGTATAAGTGAAAAAGATTACGCACCAAAACTCTTGGAATGTATACACCTAGAGTATGAACATATGGCTTGGGGGGGAGTTATGGGGTTTTATATTTAACTATAAATTCCTCTTGGAGTACAGGACGCTGTATTTTCCTTTTTATTATGCGCAGGAATTCCGCCACTTACGAGTGACTCTTTTTATACTAGCACGGTTAGCTCCCGTGTTAGTACCCCTTTGTTGGGGCAGGTTAGGGGGGAAACCCATTCGATGCGTAATCAAATAAATAAGAAATTGAATTGTCTATTTTAAAGGAGTTGTTGTTGTGTGCTTGAAAACAGGTGCTAAAAAGGTAAGTTGTGTGATGCTAGGTTGTTAGGATGTTAGTGTGTTTCGTTTATGCTTATGTACTCAACATTTCTTATTGTGTGTTTGTCTGTTTGTTGTCCTTTTCTTTATCTTGGCCCTATGATGATCCATTTCAAATGGCGAGTAGTTGGGACAAAATAAAGAGAAGCTTTTCAGGTGATGCAGCATATTCATGTTGGGGCATGAGTGAAGAGCAAATCTTGTTTAGTTTCCACGAGGATGATGTGTTTACTTGCTTTGAATATTATTTATTGCTTGTGAGACTAACATATTGATTTTTAATTATTTTGGTTTGGTTTTGAAAGGGCCTACAAGGGTTCCAAGTTGTAGGTTGACTTTGTTTGACTGTGGTTTGAACTTACTTTCGTTTGGTTTGACTTGAGGTTGATTTTATGTTTTAAAAAGGATTTTTGAACGAGTCTTCAGTTATATGTCTTTGATAATTGCTTTTGTCGTTATCGCAGTAGCGCTAATGTCTTAGAATTTCCTATTTCGAATTTCAAAAAGGCAAAACAGATATATTAAAGGACATGAATTTCTAGGGTGTTACAAATGGTATCTCGGAGCTTTGGTTGAGATTTTTTATTACCACTAAAGTTAAAAACGTGTTTTAAAATATTTTGTTTTAAACTTGGCCAAGTATTTATTTTACGACTTATTTTTAAAAGTGAGTTGTTTTATTTTTATTTATTTTTGGGAGGATCGAAATATTTCTTTTTTTTTTTTTTTAGGGAAGAGGTCCAAATTTTTTTTAAAGGGAAATCCGAAAATTTTTGTTAGGAGGGGTTCAATTTTTTTTTATTTTAATTGGGAAGTGTCCGAAATTTTTTTCTTTAAGTGGTTGAAAATTCCGACCTTATTTCCCATCCATTTTCGAAAATTTTAAATAAAAAGGGGAGTTCAAAAATATTTTTAGTTTGTTCGTTTTGCAGAGAAGCGAAGGATTGAGGTTTGAATTATGTGTTAAAAGCTTTAAAAGCATGTTGTGAGCTTGGGTAGTGTAGGAAATTTTTTATCTCGCCGTATCGTGGGTCATGTTTTTAGGCATGCCAGCGATCGTAGGAAAGAAGCTAGAGAAAGAGAGTCGCCAATAAGTTTTAGAAACTTGTAAACCGTTCACAATTGAGAAGGTTACACCCCATTCACAATCACAGAGATTGCTAACTCCATAGTGGTCTAGAACCATGACTGGATATTCGGGGATGATGATACGAACTTGACTTTCAAAGAGGTCAAATCCTCCCTAAATAGGCCTCTACTTGATCCTTTTTGTCATTCATGCGCGCTTTTCGATCAACAAATTACATAAAATTAATCCTTAACCTGTTTAATCTATGTTGGTTGATTATTAATGCACAATTAAATCTAATACTCGTGATCACTTGAATTAAAATCATGTTAAACCTAAATCCAATTATTAATTATCTTATTATTAGGCGTGATTTCAATTACAAATTCCCTTTAAACCTGCAAATTGGGGCGTGATCAAGCAATAACAATAAATCATTGATAATCAAGCAACATATAATTAACATCATAATTGTCATCATAAAAACATTGTTAGTAGTAAGATCCTAGGCATGATATTAAACAAATTTATAACAATCCTAGCATGATACTAATAATAAAATCAAAGCGTTATCCTAAACATGATTTCTACCAAAAAGTAATTAAATTACTTACTTTGATGCCTCGACTTTCTTGCAACAAAAATAATATACACGTTAGTAAACTTCAAGAAAGTAAATTAAAGTAAATAATTAATTAGAGATAAAAATATGGATTTGGGTCCAAACCCTCAGAAATATCAACCATTCTCGTCAAGGTCGAAGGCAACGTCGACTGTGGCTTGGAGCATTCGAATCACGCAAAGGAAGTATGGTGAATGATTGGGGCGTATTAAGGATGTGTTTAGGCTAAAAGCATGGGTTT